GTCCAGATCATTGATAAAGATATTAAACAGAACTGGCCCCAGTACTGAGCCCTGGGGAACACCACTTGTGACCCGCCACCAACTGGATTTAACTCCATTCACCACAACCCTCTGGGCTCGTCCATCCAGCCAGTTTTTTACCCAGTGAACAGTACACCTGTCCAAGCCATGAGCAGCCAGTTTCTCCAGGAGAATGCTGTGGGAGGTGGTGTCAAAGGCTTTACTAAAGTGCAGATAAACAACATCCACAGCCTTTCCCTCATCCACATATTAGATCTTTGAGTTCAACCCTCCCAACACATTAATATTTGCTTTACACAAACTTAATTCTAGGTTATAATGATGGAAATAGGCACCGAAAGTAACACATTCATTGCAGTAAAATTTTATGTGTGTGCACAGGTACATGACAGCATAGATATTAGTGTTTTCTTTACTCAGGATGTGCTTTGAAATTTATTCTGGGAAAAGAAAGCACCATTCATACCTCACAGCTGGGAGACAAACTTTTCTCATCTTGGAGATGCTCCAGAGGCCAATAAGGAAAAAGTCAAGGAGGGGGAGGTAGAAATATCTGCTTAGTAACAAATGTCCATAAAACCAGTGGAGAACAGCTTGCTAGTAGCAGGCAGCGGCTGTTCAATAAGCCAATGTTGACATGAGGGCATCACTGCAGTGGTGGGAGCTGCCTCTTGCCTGCTCGCTGCCCGAGGCTGCCCCTGCTCCAGGCCTGTGCCCCGGGAGGGTGGGGGGGGCTGTGGCTGCTGGGGGTGCTTTTTATCAGCATCAGGGCAGCTCCGCACTGCCACGACACTGCTTCAGCCTCATCTGGGTGGGCTCTGCAGTCAGGAGGTGCAGGGGAGGTCTGCAAGTGCGGGTCCACCCCAGCAGTGATTGACGGTCCTGGGTCCATGGGTGTCTGTTCAGAGCTCTGAAAAAACATCATCTGCTTGGTGATACCCCACTTCACAGGTGGAAACTCCCTACTTCTCAGACAGGACTCGTCTGAGCTTGTCATGGCTTTGTGGCCATCCCCATGGCCGCAGTTCTGGCTGACTTGTGGCATTTACATGGACCTGTCATGAAACAGAAATGCTGGGAATGGGGTAACATCCCATCCCTCCCAAGGTAATGGCCCAAGCGTCACATCTCTGCAGAAATGAGTTGTGAGGGAAAATGTTTTTGAAACATCATGTAACAGGCAGAGTACACAGGGAAAAAAAATCTCCTGCTTTCTTGATTCACTTACTCTTTTTTTTTTTTAAATCCTGTTTACCTCCCTGTTCGCTCTATTCCAATGGATAAGCTGCAAGTTAGTGCCCAAGGGTAACTCTGGAATATTTTGGGGTAACCTGGACTTCCCCATGCAAGCAATGCAACTTATGTTTCACCTTCACAGTCATCCCAGCCTTGCTGGGGAAAGCTCTTTCTGTCCTGAAACTCTAGTTCTCTCAGTGGATGAGATTTTTGCAGCTGCTGATATTATTCAGTCATTTTTCAAATGTGAGACTTTGGAAAATGCTTTTCAGTGTTTTTTTGCAACCATAGCTCAAAGCTCACTTGGGAAAAAGGTGTCATTTGTCACCATAGGTTGTACTGTAGATAGCAGGGGCCTCGCACGGTGATGGCTGGCAGCATGTGTCTGCCCTGTGCAGAGGACATGCTGTGAACCACACAATTTCTGCACTTTCAGTTGGAAGAGGCAGGAGATTTTCCCAGCACCAGGTGCTCCCTGGAGTGATACCTGCTTTCATCTGAGATTCAGACAGAAATAGTCTCATGTTTCAACTGGTCCAGTCCCTTTAGCTCTGCTCCTGACATGAGCCCCAGACATGATAAGCTGGATGTTGCTACCATTCTGCTTTCCACCTATGACCGCTATTGATCCACACAGTGTGTTTGCTCCAGAAGAAAGCAGGGACATCCCTGGGGTATTCCACAGTGCTGGTTTGCTGCATCCAGCTCCTGTCCACCTTGGCAGGGATCCAGCAGGAGGGACACCAGATCCTGCTCAGCTGTGTGAGGAGCTCAGCAAATGTCTCCAAACACCAGTTGGTGGCATATCCAGGAAAAGCCCTGCTTGACACATGGGAAGTGCACAAATGCCTTTTCCACCCCTGGGCAGTATTTGCTCAGGTTCTGCTAAGGGGTCTTATCAGAGCAGATGAACATCCCTGGTGAGGGAATAGGGTTACAGCCGTATTGCTGGCAGCTCATTAACAACCTCGGGACAAGAAGGGGATGGGACTAGCAGCAGCAGCAGCAGTATCAGCCCCACTACTGCCCTGGCACAGCGCAGCTGTAAATCTCATGACTCAAAGCATATCTACAGTAACTTTCTGGACTTGCAAGTGTCCCCGTGGAGTCGGCATGGGTGAGTGTGAGCGTGGGAGAGCAGGACTGGGTGGGTTCCCAGGCCCATGGACCTCCAGAAGCAGTGCTGGTGGAGGGGGGTGTTGAGAACCTCCTCCCTGGCAGAGCCATCCATTTGCTTCCATGGATGGAGGACTTACTGCAGAGACAGGAGTTGACACAGGGCACAAAGCAGGGCAGACTCAAGGTCCGTGCTGCTTCTCCCAGGGCAAGGGATAAGGCTTGAGAGGGTTGTGCGAGTCCCTGGGTCTGCCCTCAGCCCAGCCCAGCAGCTCCCCTGGGCAGCGTCAGGGCAGAGGAGAGCTCAGGAGGGGTCAGCTGGGGGAAAAGGGAACCTGCGTGCTGCTCTGTCCCTGATAGCAGGGAGCAGAGGAGGGTCAGGCCAGCCCTGGGTCATACTCAAGGGGTGCAAACCTGCTGGCTGTCCTGCAGACCCAGTCACCGCACCGCTCTGGCTGGAGGGACAAGGGTTTTCCACAACTCGCATTGCTGCGAGTGCATCGGGAAGAGCTTCAGCGAGGCTCAGCATCCAGGCAGAGTGAGGGCAGGTTTCTGCAAACAGGGTCTACCCAGGCTGCTGAAATAAGAGCTGTGTTTAGGAGCAGGAGGGCAAAACCATGGAGGGGAGGTCAGAGTAGCCTTTCCCCATGCAAATGGGTCAGTGGGGACAGAGAAGGTGTTGAGCAAATTAAAACATCACAGCAACTCATCTCCTCAGAGTACCCCTCTGTCCCGGCAGAACAGGGATAGGTTCAGAAGACAGGATGGGTTCATGTCTAGCAGAGAGTGACCGCGCTTTAGTTCTAGCCCAGCAGTCATAAATCTAAGTGTAAATGTGTTTAAAAACGTAAGATTGAATTTACTGGTGTATGAAGAGCGTAGGTTTCCAACTGCTATCAAGGGTCCATCATTGTGGGGTATCCAAAACAGAGGCACCATTGGAAAAGTCATCCCTTTCCATATGTTTCCCAGTTTAACACTGCTGTAACCCCCAGAGGTGCAGCTGTGGTGCCATCTTTAAAAGAATGTTCAGATTTTAATCTCGGGATAACTATTATTATAATTAAGTTGAATAACATTATTATTTTTTAGTACAACTTGGGTATTTTATTTGGATTTTCCAGAGTGTAGCGGAAATTGAAGAAATACCATCTAGCTGTTTAGTGAGCTGGAGGGGCAGAAAATATTCCACAAGGTTTCTGTTAAAATCTGTGCTTAAAGATAAACACTTTGGTCATGTTTCTTCTGATCTGCAAAGAACTCTCTTGTGATTGCTTGATTTTGCTCCCCAAATTTCCTGGGCAGCTTGGGCTCTGGCATGAAGCTTGGGGACAAGAAGGAGCCCGGCTACAAAGTTCTGTCAGGAAGGCAACACCGTGCCATCCTCGCAGGTTTGGGGTTACTTGCAGCTGTTTCACCTCACTGCAGCTCATTCCCCATTGTATGTTTTACTCTGACAGTGTGATGCTCTGTTTGACTCTCATCTTGTCCTTTCCTCCTCCAGCTGTCCAGGGCGCTCCCCTCCTGCTCCTTGCCTGTGTGTTGGCCCTGCCTGCCCCACATCTCACTAGGAGCATCCAAAGCCTGTCCCTCTTCAATCAATCTGTCTCAAGTAACACCATGTATGCTCTGAACACATTAGTGAACGGTAGGTACATGGAAGGTCTCCATCTGTGCCAGCAGGACACAGCTAGGACCACCCCAGAGCAGGCTGTCGGGCAGGGCATCTTCCAACCTGGTGCTCCCCCCAAGGTGTCAGCAGAGCCCCAGCATCCCTCAAGACAGATACATGCCCCAGCACAAGTCGCCTGCCCTTCCTCAAACGTCGGGTGGGTGCAGACACAGGACCTTGCAGTCACAGGCCTTTCTGCTCACATGTAGGCGTGGAGAAGTGCAGAGGGTTTGCTCTGATCCCCTTCTGAAGCCAAGGCTGTCCCTCCCCACACATCCCCTGCCGCTCTGGAGGATGGTAGGGACAGTCAGTGAGAAGGACGCAGAAGAAAGGAAGGGTTCTCCTGCCACCAGCATCTCCAGCTATTTCACTTGTCCCATGGCTAAGAACTAGAAAAGTGTTCTTCTCCTCTGAAATACCCTTGTCTGAGTGTACTTCACCAGACTGCACCATTCCATGTCTTACCCTCAGCCTTGCTCCTGGGGTACTCACCATCCCAGGAGGGTGAAACACAGCTCCTGCAGTGGTGGAAGAGGACAGCTGATGTCCACATGGCTGAGGGAACACATGGCAAACCTGTGCCCAGTCTCTGGGGCCACAACACACCAAAAATAGTTGGAAATGGAGATTTTAGAAGACAAAGGCTCCTTCCCTGGCCAGAAGCAGGATCAGAGGTGTAAAGGCCTTACATCTTACTGCCTGGACTCCACTTCTTGAGCCAGCAAGTACCTCCTGATCTGGGCTCCAGCTTTCTTTGGTGTGGTCCCCCCATTTCCAAATCTCCTCTCGACTGTTGTTTTCCATGTTCCAGTTCAGCTCCAGCTAGTGAATGGCTCCAAAAAGTGCTCCGGACAGGTGGAGGTTTGGTACCGCAATGAGTGGGGAACGGTGTGTGATGACAGCTGGGACATGAGAGATGCCTCTGTGGTGTGTAGGCAGCTCGGCTGCGGAGAGGCATTATCAGCCCCAGGCAATGCTTATTTTGGGAGTGGATCTGGGACTATCTGGCTGGACAACGTTAACTGCAATGGGGAGGAGAAGCTCCTCACTGAGTGCTCCCTGCAGGCTTGGGGAGAGCACAACTGCAGGCACAGCGAGGACGCAGGCATTGTGTGCTCAGTTGAGGATGACATTTGCGTGATCTGTGCTCCTCAGGCAATCCAGGTCTCATTAATGTCTTGGTCTTGCAGAACCAGCCACGGGAGGACTATGGGCTGCCCCTCGGTCTTGTTGCACAGGGTCTTGTTAAATCACCCTCTCTCCTGCCCCAGGTTGGCCCAGGGACTGCAGTGAGGTCTCCGCTGGCAGCCCCAGTGGCATCTACGTCATCCAGCCCACAGGGCTGCACCCCATTGTGGTGTACTGCAAAATGAATGTGACGGACAGGGGCTGGACGGTCATCCAGAGGAACTGGCAGAGCACAGAGATCACCTGGGCTGAGTGCTGGAGCACCTATAAGTACGGCTTTGGGAACCTGCACACCGAGTACTGGCTGGGCACTGAGTACATCCATCAGATCTCCAAGCAGAAGATCTACCAGGTCAGGTTTGTCATCTGGGATGCTGCAAACAACACCAAGTTTGCAGACTACAACCTCTTCAGCCTGGAAGATGAGTCCCATGGCTGCTGGCTGAGGCTGGGAACATACTCTGGGTTGGCAGGGGACGCCATGACCACAAACAGTGCTTCCACTGTGCATGACAACATGAAGTTCTCCACTAAAGATCTGGATCAGGACACTTACAGTGGGAACTGTGCCTCCAGCTACGGTGCCGGTGGTGGTACTCGGCGTGTTATTCTGTAGGCCTGAATGTCAAGGGGGCCATAACCTGGGGCAGCCTGTGTAATGGGAACTGCAAAGCTTCTGCCATCCTCATCAAACCAGCTTCCTACTGCTAGTTGCATTTTCATTTCCTTTCTGTCCAACCTGAGGCTAACTCTGTCTCTGCAAAGAGATGGAAAAAGGCAAAACATGTCATGGCCAAACCCAGTGTCCTAGGGGTCTTTGTTGAGGTTGGCCATATCCTACCTACTGAAGAAAATAAAGCATTTTCCACTTCTTCTCTCTCCTGTAGATTCCCTCTACTCCTTAACTGTGCCTTTATCCTTTTGTTCAGAGTCAGATAATTTTAATTATGTTAATAATCAGAACAGTCTCTTGCAAAATCTGGAGTTTCCAGATCTGTAGTGTGCTTCATATAAAATGTGAAACAGACAACCCAGTGGACATGTATGGCTTTGTAAGTTAATTTACATCCTTAACTTCAGGCAAACTACCTAATTTTCACTTGCTGAAAATCTTGCTCAAGATATTAATGTGCACAGTCAAATTCCCACTCTGTACCTTCTACATTTCAGGCTTAATAGTTATTAAATATTCAAATAAATCTGTATTCAAAAAACAGTACTAATTGTAACAGTCTATTTCAAATCTTTGAAGTGCTCACAGAGGTTAATGTGCTAGAAGGTTTCCACCACTGAAGCTCAGCTTTCCTGTGGGACAGGCATTTGGGACTGCAGGGCAAAAGCAATGCATAAATAAAACTTGAAACACTGCATGCAGACTTCTGCCTCACAATAGTTTTGTGCAAGCATAGGAAATGTCAAAACATTTTCACTTTTCTCAGCAACACTGAGTTTTAGGTTTTGTTGTCCATGCAACTCACATCCCTAAGCGCCATGGGGAGTCCATCTCCTGAGCCAGGGCCACGATGAGTTCCAAGAGATGACAGCATGGAGGGAAGGCATCATCCTGCCTTTGCTGTTTTGAAACTGAAAAGAGATTTCAAAGTGCCATAAAATTGCCTTGTGAAAAGACCTCCTGGCTTCTTCAGTCCATCCCTCTGGCATCCGCAGGACTGCTCCTCACAGGCAGGGGATTTTGCTGCCGTATCAGCCAGTGTCATGGTTTGCAGGCAGGCACTGCTGCACTCCCTTTGCTTACCACAGGGTCACTTCCACAGTCACGACCTGGAGAGACAGGAAGCAGGATGAGTCCATTGGTGTCCTAATGTTCCCCTGGCAGGGGGATGTGACCTGGAAGCCCTCAAGCCCAAGGTGAGCAAGGGAAGCAGCCTGCCCTCAAAAACGTCTGCATGATCCCTTGTTACTGCGCCTGGACTTTCTAACAGCACACCCAAAACACTGCCTGGTCTTTCCAAGAGCTGAAGCACACAAAAAGCTGCAGGGTTAGCACAGTCAGGCTTAACAAAGAAAGGCTGCAGGCTTAGCACAGTTTGTGTATAACTAACACATCCCAGGAAAGGTGGTATATGTGAGATATTTTATGTCTTTAGGGATTTTAAGACTCTGCGTGAGAGGTCTCGTTTGTGAAGGATAGACTCAGATCTGAGCAAAGTGAGGGAGCATGGGAAGGGCTCAGAAGAGCTCTGGTATGAGGTATTAGCAGATAAGTGAACAGACCAACATTTGCATTGATTTGTGTCAGGACTCAACATTACAGCTCAGAAAATGCAGAAGTCTTCAAGCAGGATCTATCATCTCTGCCAGTGTCAAGCCTATGGACACACCGATTCTGTCATTGATCATTAGCCTACCAATGCAAAACAACATTTCCCACAAAAATCATGGCTTTACATTTTTCTTGAAAGGATCAATATGCTCCTTTCTTTGAGGGAAGTAGCACGTCAGCAGATGCCATCCATTTCAGCTTCCAGCCACTGTGGTACTAATGTACTAAAAATGCCTACAACGGCACGTGAATTTGAGAGTATCTTTGGCTCAGTGAGATGAGAGCTGCCTTCCTCATAAATGGAGAAAGATAGGCTAGCAAATAAAAATTGGTGGAAACAAATCTTTTATTACCTTGTTATGCTTCTGTAAGATTTTTTTACACTATGGTTTTACTGGATCTGCATGTCTGCCTTTTATTTCTCTCCCTGCCTCCTACCACCTTCTGTTCAAGCCCCCTTTGCAGTGAGTCATGTGGTGCGTGACAGGCAAGAGGAGGCAGCTGCCAGCTCAGAACGAAGACTATACTCAATGTAGGAGATGATAATAACTTAAATAAAATCCTCTCAGCTGTCAAACTTGGGAATTTCTTGTTGCATTTAGAAATCTTTTTTTGGCTAACACTCTTGCCTTAAGAGAGGTTTGGAGACATGTGATTGAAGTGCCCCTCTGCTAATGCCCTCCCCTCCAGGACCCAATGGATGTGTACCTGCTGTGCACCACTGATATGGTGGAAGGTAGCAGAAAGGCAGCAACACCCACCTGCACTGTGTTCCCATCAGCAGGTTCCCCTTCCACAACGGGAAGGAGGATACCGCCGGGTATCCCATCCTCATGGTGAGTCTCCTTAGCTAGATGCAGAAAAGTCCTTTTTGTGCTATATCCTCATGTTATCTCTAAACAGTGTGACTTTTGTCAAGTGATACCTTGATTTTTCTACAAACTCTAGGTTGCTGCGTGCCCTAAGGTCTCTTCTGCTCTCTCTGGAGAGGCCCAGCCAGCTTGTCCTATAGAAACTGGGACATGGTGTGGCAAGCTAGCCCTCTTCAGCAGGGTCCTCTTTCTGGGCAAGCAAGATAGCACAGATCACCATCATGAAATGCACTTAAAATGCAAAGGCAACGTGAAAAGAAGTGATTTGAGAAATGTGGAGTCTCATTGCTTACATTTGTCCTGCTCTCCAGAGGGTGCTGTCACCCCAGGGTTTGCCAGGCGGCTTCCAGTGTGAAGGAGAGCCCAGAAATATTGCCTAAGGAGTCTAGCTGCAGGCTGCAATTTTTTCTTCCATGTTCATTGCTCTGTCCTACTGCTGCAAGGAGTGCTGGGAGCCCATCAGCACAGGCTGTACACACGGGAGAGTGTGAGCAAGGCCATCTGAGGAAGAAAGCACCAAGAATCTCATTGCATGGATATACAGCAGAAAATTTCTTTCCAGGCAGAGGGAATACAGTCAGATCTCTCTGAAGCAGGGTTTCCAAACCTTTTCCAAAGGATTTAATTATATGGGATGCCACCATCTCTTTTGGAGAAGAAACTGATATTCTACCTTCCCCCAAAAGCTTTTGCTACTTTCCCCTAGCCATTACGTTGTGATCTGACCCACTTCCCCTCCCTGCAAGTACACCCTTAGCCCTGGTTCCTCCCAAGGCCACATCAGGTGATGTCCGCATGAAGACCAGCTCTTGGCACCCAGCCGAGCAGAGGGAGGCACAGCACGATGTGATGCAGATGTCTCATGCCATGTGTCCGCCTGCGTCTGCCATAGTGCTCTTGCACAGAAGGACTCCATCCCTGGGGTCTCCTCATCGTGGGCTTGTGGGAATACCCAGCCTCCTGCAGTGGCTGAAGTGGCTGCCTGGTTTTCTTTGAGCCTGCCTGCTGTGGAACAGAGAGCTGTTCCAGTTCCTAAATTTTCCTTTTGTGGGTTGTCTTTCTCCTTCATTTCACAGCAGCCTGGTCAAATCCTGCCCAGATCGATAAATACAGCTCCATGGACACCTACACACTCAGGGCAAGCAAAGGCTGGCCCTATCTTATAGGCAGAGGAAGCAGAGAAGTGATGCACTGTAGGCATGATATGGCAGCACCACCACAAATGGGACTGTCACAGACTATGACAAGTGGCAGTCCTCCCCAGCTGGCCTTGCTTGCAGAGGCGGGAGCACTTCCAGCAGCAGTTGGAGACAGAAACAGGGCCAGATCCCCATGGTGAGTCATGCATTTTCACATTTTAAGAGCAAAACCCACCAGTGATGCTGACAAAGCTGTTCTCCTTTGCCTGCTAGTTCTCATTAAGGCCATATTTCACTTTCACTGCTCGTAATTACAAGCTCTATGTTTCTAGCAGGAATGCTGTGCTTTATCTGCACCCTATAGCCATGTGTTTCCCAAGCTGTCCCTGGAGCCCTTTCTGGTGATGTGCAAAGATCATGTGAGGTGACCTTCTCATGTGCCTGGTACTTGGCCACGCCAAAGGAGAGCTTGCCTTGGCACCTGGACCCTTCAGTGACTTTGGACTGTGTCATAAGATTAAAGCCTTAAATCTGACCCCTGTAACACAGCACCAAGTGAACAGGCTGCAGTCTGGGTGGCAAAACTGCACCAGTACCTCCTGCTTCAACCTCCTCCGACATCTACTAATTGAGCTCTGAAAACCTTAGAAACAGGCAGCAACAGGTACACTGTATCTGATTCTGAGCTGTTTGGGGAGTGTGTGGTTTCTGCTGCAGCAGTCTGGAGATCCAGCCTTCCCAAACAAATCTTTTTGCAGCAAGACTGCATACCATCGTGACACTGGAACTTTCCATCACTTAGGACTCCTCAGCCTCGGAGGTGCGGCTGCATCTCAACAACACCTTTGTTAGTATTTCTCTCCTGCCACCACCTGTGGCCTCACACAGCAGCACTGAGGAGGGCTCGGGTGTCCCTAGAAATTAAGGGATGGTGTCCCAGTTTCGGCTGGGATAGAGTTAATTTTCTTTCTAGTAGCTGGTACAGTGCTATGTTTTGAGTTCAGTATGAGAAGAATGTTGATAACACACTGATGTTTTCAGTTGTTGCTAAGTAGTGTTTAGTCTAGAGTCAAGGATTTTTCAGCTTCTCATGCCCAGCCAGCAAAAGGCTGGAGGGAGAGGAACAAGGAGTTGGTGGGGACGCAGCCAGCACACCTGACCCAAACTGGCCAAAGGGGTATTCCATACCATGGGATGTCATGCCTAGTATATAAACTGGGGGGAGTGGGGCTGGGGGGAATCGCTGCTCGGGAACTAACTGGGCATTGGTCAGTGGGTGGTGAGCAATTGCATTGTGCATCACCTGTATATTCCTATCCTTGTATTATTATTCTTAGTGGCATTTTAGTATTGTTATTATTATCATTATTAGTTTCTTCTTTTCTGTTCTATTAAACTGTTCTTATCTCAACCCACAAGTTTTACTTTTTTTTTCCGATTCTCTCCCCCATTTCCACTGGGTGGGGGGAAGTGAGTGAGTGGCTGCATGGTGCTTAGTTGCTGGCTGGGGTTAAGCCATGACAGATGGCCATGCCAGCTCCTGGTGAAGAGCCTCTGTTCCAGACAGAAGTGGGTACCATGAGCCCATGACAAGAGATTTCAGTCTCTTCCTCCATTTTTCAACTGCCATGATAAAGAAGAGCCAGTGACCCCATGGGAAATCTGGCAAGACCACCAGCATGGCATCGTCTCCTTCACCCACGCCTGCAAAGCAAGAAACACTGCAGGCACTGCTGGTTGGACTGCACCCATGTTTCATGTGCCACCGTCTTGCAGTCCAATCCTTTAGCATTGATCCAGTCCTCTCTGTTGGCCACCATTTGGTGTCTGGGATGGAACTTACCTACAGGAATTTCATCTGCTTTCATCTCTTTTCTAACATGGGCAGTCCTGATCTATTCAGCCTTTTCCTGCAGGGATGCCATTCCCACCTCTGATCACCCAGTTTCCTCACCTCTGTGACTTTCCCAGTTCTTCTACATCTTTTCTGAGCCAGACACCAAAACTGTACACAGCCGTGAGCACCCTCTGGTTTATACAGTGGCAAGTGATGTTTTCTGCTGAAAGCCCATTCGTTTCCTTGCCATTTCTAAAGCCTTTTTACTTTTTGATTGCTCCTGAACCTTTAGCTGATGTTTTCAATTGAATTGCCTACGATTACCCTCAGATTGGCCTCTTGAACAGTAATAGCTAATTTAGAGTCCACCACTGCATACAGTTAGGGATGTACTTCACTTCATCCTTATCAACATTGAATTTCATTTGCCACTTTATCACCCACTCACTCTGCAGCCTGACATCCTTCTGCAGCTTTCTGCAGCCACCTTTAGATATGACTGTTCTGAACTATTTTCTCCACCAGAAAACGTTGTCACCATGCTGTTTACTGCCTTTTCTCCATCACTTATGAATATGCTGAAAAATCCAGCCCCAGTACAGATACTTGTAGCATCCAATAGGCGACTGTGAAAATTTACCAATTAGTCTTATCTTTGCTTCCCAGCTTTGCAAGCTATTGATCTGTTATAGCTCAGTGTCTTTGAAAACTCTATGATAGATCTTCTTATAAGCTTTTTTTGGATTACATTATATTGATCGGATCACTGTTGTCCACATCTCCTTCCAACAACTGCAACAGATTTCTGAGCCATGACTTTCCTCTAAAAAGCTATATTGAGTCTTTCTCAAGTTATTGTATTTATCCATGAGTTCCTATGAATTCCATGTTTATTACAATTTCTACCACTTTGCTAGGTGCAGAAACGAGACCTCTAAATCTGGAGATCCTTAGATGAGTGACTGAACCTTTAAAAAATGGACACCATCTGTGCCACCTCCATTGCCTTGGTAGGCAAGTAACAGGTCACAACATGCTGTCAGCAGATCAGAAATGTCCTGGTGGAGTTTGGCGAGAGCTCCCGGGCGATGGTCTCTGGTCCTGGAGGTCTGGAACTATTCATCTGATGGATGATGAGGTCTGCGGCTTCTTCGTGCTGACTTCTCAATTTTAATTCCTGCCATCAACCCCACAAGGGCTTGGAGGTGGAAACGCTTTGCACCATTGCTCCAGTGGGACGGCAGCCTCAGCACAGCAGGCTCCCCACCACCAGCACCACAGGGAACTCGTGCAGTGCTCCTCCCTCTGCCCTCCTTGCCCTCAGCATTCTTGGTGCATCTTCTACAGAGCCTACAGATGCTCTGGCAGACTTTCCACTTCTGACAGCTGTGAATGAGGTTTTAATATTAGTTTTTGTCTTTCTCAAATTGCACAGTAAAATTACTTTTGGCCCGCCTTTTGTGGTTTTACATTCCACTTGCTGAAATTCATAATGCTTTCTATTTTTCTTGTTCTTTGAATGTGATTCCCACCTTCTGAATGGCAACCAAAAGTCTCATCTGCTCTGTTTGGTGTCCCTGCTGGCTCTTTTGACCCTCTCAATGTCTGGCTGCGGTTAAGCTGATTATATTTATTCCAGACCTTCACCACAGTGTCTGTAAATGCCTTCCCTGCATTTTGCCCTTTTGCCTGCTCCTTTTGACCTCCTTTTAACACGTTCTAAGTGGATGTTTCCCACTGTTTCTACCCATACAGTTTCTCTGGTCTCTCTGAACATGACATATTCAGGCCACCAACTTTGCTGCTTGGTTGATAATAAAGCTTTCACAACATATTTCTCCTCCCTACCTTATTCCTGGTAGCAATGCTAGCAGTTTCAGTTCTAGTCCTTTTTTTAAGGATTTTGATTTTTTAGGACTTGAAAGGATCCCTATCTTGAGGGACTAAGCTGGGAGCTGTGTGCTCCTCTGCATCTGTTGAATGCCCTTCAGGTTTGAGTCCAACCCATCCCCATCCATCACTGTTGTGCATGAACACACTAGTATCCCAGCTCTGTCTGGATCAAATGGAGATACCCGTGCTTGTGCAGATCCCATCGACTCCCAGTTTCTTCAGCTACTAATAAATCTGACCTCTCTGTCCCAACACAGTTCTCCTCCCAGACACAGGGGCTGTTTCCCTCTGCCTCTGTGCATGGTGCTGGGATCATTTTGGAGAATTGATCTCTAACCTCCCAAGTGACAGTGCATGTTTTGGGACATCCACCTTGCATTGCACCCAGGACCAAAACTCCCTTGGTGCACTCTCTCCAAGACTATGTTGCATCCATATGGCTGTAGCTGGCATCAGGCACTTTAGGATCCAAACAGCCAGTTACAAAATCCCTCAGCACTGCAGCCTGCCTGTTCCTGGGTGGGACCCCTGCTCTGGTCCACTGTCTGCCAGGGAAGGTTCCTCTGTGGGATCTGTCACCACTTCCCCCAGGCTGGGTGCCCCTTTGCCCACGAGATTTCCCTCCTCTGCAGCACAAGAGCTGCTGGACTGGAGATGAGGGAGTTATGATGTCCCTAAGAGCCTCACTGATGTATCTCTCTGCTTCCCTCAGACATCTGTTGTCCCAGAGGACCGAAGTCTGCCTGCAGCTGGTGAACAGATGGCAAATGCTCCTGGGCAAAAACCTGGAAATTGCCTTTTGTGCAGCGTGGCCCTGCACAGAGGAGCACTCTCAGAAAGCCTGTGTATCTCCAATATCTTTGTTTCTCTTGTGGCTTGCCTAATTCTTAGTTTCCCAGGACACCTACATTCCCATTATTGCTTTAAAATGTCTGCAGACAGTACTTTTAAAATTGCTTCTCTCTTCAGCATCTTGACAGGCAGCTTGGGACAGGCTGACATGGTTATAATGAATCACAGAGGAGGAAAAGAGAGCCACAGAGCAATGCAAATGTGGCTGAAAAATGAAGAAATAGTTCCTAAGTGAGGTTTGCACCAATCAGTGTGAAAACTATGCAAAACAGCTATTTGTGCATATTCCTCCAGGTCTGAAAAATACCCTGGACGGCTGCTCACTCCTCCAGAACACCTGCAGAACCCACCTGTGTGCTTCGGAGGGTGCTCTGCTCCACCTGCAAGCTGGATTAAAGTTCAGATGCCTGTGGCCATCTATGTTAGCTTTATGCCACTGTTTATCCCATGTTTTCATCAGAGGTGCCTAAAAGCTTGCGCCTGGGTGCTCTCCAGGCATGTGTGCTTGTGCCAGGCTGTGGAGCTGGGAAAAAAAAGGCCAGAAACTAGAGAGAAAAAAAGCAATTTAAGCCTGAAATTATATCCACTTTGTCCCTCTGTGGCTCTGGTTAGTGAGGAGATGCTTGTGACACAGGTCTGGCTGGCATGGCACATGCTAAGCCCTGGCAAGAGATGGGGAGGGGTCTGGTGCATCAAGCCCTGCCTGCCTGCATCTCTCAGGACACCTCGAAGGTGAATGTAATCCAGTTTAAGGACTGCATGACTGCAAGTTGTGTAAATCCCACCGTGCCTGAGCTCATCATTGCCCTCTCTTGCATTCAGCGTTTGCATCGCCTCTCCTGCTGGGTCACACCTCGGAGCAGGCTTTTGCCTGGGCTGTTTCTCAGCTTGATGCATGGCTCAGTGACTCGGCGTGCTTTGCGCTGAGCTGGGTGCCCGTTGCTATAATTTTGCCTGTTTGTGTCCCTTAATCTGTATTTGTTTCCTTGGAAGTGCAGGGAGATACATTAGGCCAGAGGCGCTAGGTAAATACCGCCTGCTCCTCTCCCTGCCAGCATGCTGGGAGCAGCGATTAACCCGGGGTAAACAGAGCCGACTGCCAGCAAACCCGTGGCCCCTGGTGAAGGCGGGGACAGGGGACCCGCAGCTGCTCCTCCCCGGGTTTGCAGGGGAAATAAAAGCCGGGGCTGTCAGGTGTGTTGCAAGAGCAGGACGGCGGCGTGGAGCTGAAGCTCCCGTGGCCGGTGGCAGGGTGCTGTGGCCCGGCTGACGGTGCGCCATGGGCGGGATCAGCCACCACCAATATAAACGGGGCTGAGAGCGAGCAGCCCCGGCAAACTGAAAGCTGAACCTTGGAGCGTGGAGGAGACGGCGTGGTCCGGGGTGGGGCAAGCAGCGCCGAGGAGGAGGTGTGGTGTGGGTGTCCTGTGCCGGGGAGCCCAACGGCATGTGGTCAACGCTAACGCAGCACCCATAGGGCTCTGGCACAACCAGGATGTGAACCACAGCGCTGGGGCAGGCTGATGAGGGCTCCCCAGCAGGCGCTGGGCGATGGCAGGAGCTCAGGGGGGGCTCCCGGGTCCCTTCCCAGAGCCCCCAGTTGGGCCATGCCCCGTCTCCGACTCCGACTCGGACTCCGAGGACACGGCTGTGGGTGGCACAGCACCCGGTGCTGGGGCGCAGAACCCGTCCCAGGTCATCCACAGTGGCCACTTCATGGTGTCGTCCCCGCACAGCGACTCACTGCCCCGCCGGCGCCACCACCGCACCGAGCCTGAGCTGGCTGATCCCCGGAGCATTGACCCGACCCTCACCCGGCTCTTCGAGTGCATGAGCCTGGAGTACAGGTGAGTCCCAGAGCCCTCTCGCTGGGATGCGTCTCAGACCCCCCCCAGCTCTTTGAAGGTATGAGGCTGTCTGAGCCGTACTGGCCATCCAGGAACTTGCTGCCAACAGACATCCTCCTCTTCTCCATTGGGTTGTGATGGGCAATATGCTCAAAAACTGCCATCCTGGGAGGTTTCAGGGAGAAAGAACTGATGCTGGGTTGCTGGCCATAGAGTCAGATGAAAAGTTCCTCCTCTCTCCACAGGTATCTTAACCCTTCTCCGTCTTCCCATGAGTTCTGGAGTCATTGCATCCAGCTGTAGCACCCTCATGGCCAGACCCTGCACAATCTGTAAAGCAGTACTAACCCTGTGGGCAGCCAGCACTCAGTTTTTGGCAATCCAGGCCAAAGCAGGAGTCCTGCTTTCCCGTCCTTGACTCTGCCCACATGTCCCGAGGTTATTCCAGGACATGCAGCGCCGCTAGGGGCTGGATGGCTGCACGGGGCTTTGTCCAGGGCCTCCTGAAAGCTTCCCTGCTTCCCTCCTGCAAAATCAGATGGGTCACTGCATCATTCCCCCAGCCACACAAATCACCCAAGTCCAGGACGCTAGGGATCTGCTCATCCCACAGCTCCTTGGTGAGAACAGGAGAGCCTGCATGTCTCTTAGTGCCTTGGTCCACATTCTTGGAGGCAGCTCTCCTCTTTTGCTAAGGCCCCAGGGTTTTGAGTTCTCTCAAGCATGGTATCAGGGTGACTTGCTCTACTGGCATCAGTACAAAACTGCTTGCACAGCTTTCCCAGAGTGTCCAGGCGCAAACCTGGAATGACGATGTCCTACTGATGCCACATGAAAACAAAACCTCAGCAAAACAGCCTTGAAGAGTTGCCCATTGCCTTGTTCCATGCAGAGTCTCATTCAGTTGCTGACTTCTCAGGTATGCCTTGAAGTCCTTGAGTGCTCAAGGTGATGGAATATGTGGTCACTGCCAGAGCACCCCCAGTGACGCCAGGCACTGGGACAGCACTCCAAGGGTACTAGTTGCCACATAGCTGTGTACATTTGGCCCATCACCACATCCCAGATCGCATGGTTTGCTCACAGCTGATGCGGCACAGTTCTCCTCCAAGGTGCTGGTGAAGCTGGCACTCTGCAGGAGCACACTGAGCTTCAGCGTGGGGTGACCCAGCTGAGGGTCATGCTTCCTGGTCAGGCAAGTAAGTCACCTCTGAGTGCCATGCACAGGGGACACTGAGGCACTGATGGCCTCACTCTCTTTTGCTCTCCCAGCCCCATACTTGCCATACTCTGATCCTTGCAGCTTGGGGCTGGAGGAACAGATACTGCTCCACCCCAGCGTGCTCAAGCTCTTGACTCTTGAAATGCACCACAGCCTCTGTGTGCCCCTGAGCTCTGCTGCTCCCCAGGCAGTGGGGAAAGGGTGCAAGTGCTTTGGCAGTTGGAGCAGACCACAGCAGCTGTATGCCACCCAGGGTTGGCCATTACGCTGGAGACAGGGCTCCATCACTCCAGATCTCTCTACCCCTTGGACTCTTTCAGGGCCTTGTTTCCCTCCTGCACTGAGCATGATAATGCACACAGGAGCCCCAAGCCCAGCACTATGGCAAACCATAACTGCAGTTGGACAGCAGCCCTCAGTGAGGAGGATCCACATCAGCTACAAAGCATTAGTGCCACTACTGATGGCCACCCTGGATGTCTCCTGGCTGCCTTGGTGCAAGACTAGGTCTTCCTCAGCACCCATAGGAGCAGTTCTTGGTCTGCTGTGGAGCCAGGGTAGCTGCAGGCCATGGGACCCAACCAGGAAAACGTTGACATTGGATGTTCTCCACACTTCATGCTCGGTTCTTTTCTCTTGGAGTTCCTTTCATCCTTAAATGCTCTCCCCCTCCACCCCTCAGCTGTCATGCTCTGCAGCTTGCCAGCACCCTACAAACAGGATGATAAGCATTGATCAGAGATTGGGTTCAGGTGAACCTGGACCTGTGATGCAGTGCTGGATATGACTCTCCGCAGGTGGGATTGGACTCTGGCTCTAGAGCTGACCACTCTGCTGGCTAGCTTCTGTTCAGGCATTTCTTTTCTCCCTTTGGAAACCCATGGCAGCTTTGCTAATACATTTTTGACAGACTTGTAAGCTAAAGTTGGAGGAAGGTATCGGAGGGGGGAAATGGAATTTAAAGATACTTGGCACACCTCTACTTTTACTTTTATCTGACTTGATACTTCTCTGCATCATCTGCCATTTCACACCCTCCCTCCCAGCCAGGTTGCTCAGAAGGGGTGTTGGTGCAGCACAGCATCAGCTGGAGTCGCCAGCCAAATGTCCTCCAGTCTTCAGGAGTGCATCCACAATTATGTTGTAGACTAACTCCCTAACAAAGCAGAAACTGCAGAAAGGTATCAGTTGGGAGGCACCTCTGGAGTTCATTGTCCAACCCCTGTGCAAGGCAGGGCTAACTCCAAAGCCAGATCATGGTGCTCAGGGCCATCACTCTGATGAATGGAGACCAAGGATGGTGAGCCAACCACCTATCCACCCTGTCCCAGGGCTGCACCACTCTCACAGGGAAGAGTTCTGTCCATGGCTTTAATTGGAGTTTTCTTTGTTCCAGCTTGTGTCCGTTGCCTCTTGTCCTTTCTCGGTGCATGTCTGAGAAGTGTCTGATTCCATCTCCTCTATAGCCTCCTTTGGGTAGTTGAAGGCAGTAAATAGATCCTCCCTCCACCTTCTCTTCTTCAAGCTGAACAAACCCATCACTCACCCTCCTCTTTTGTCATGTACATTAGCCCCCCGACCACCTTAACGTCCTCCTCCAGGATCACTCCAGTTTGTGAAACTCCCTCTTTTATCGGGGGAACCAATCGGGACACAATATCCAGCCTTGGCCTTTGCAGTGCTGGGTAGAGGGGAACTATCACTTCTCCTGATCTGCTGGCTGAGCTGTGAGTGTTGCAGCCACCCATTCCTCCCTGTCCTGGCTTACACCATTTCAAAGGCACTAAACTCTCTCTAAACAGTATCATTTTTCAATGGCTGTAGCTGAACAGTCATTTGAGTACTGTAATTCCTCCCCTCTCCAACATTCCTCTGCGGCACTTTACAGGTGTTTATGGCAGTCCTGTCTCAGCTTGAGCAATCGCCTGGAGGATCTGACCTATTATCCCCCATGGCCTGGACTGTGCATCAGTGCCTCGCTGGGAAAGAAGTGCTCTCTCCACATTAAGGCTTGCTGCTAGCAGTAACTTCTTTCTTCAGATCCCTCAAAGAGAGGCAACTCTGCCTGCCGAGGTCCTCCTCCTGGTGCTGGGATGAAGCTGTTCCCAGGCCCTTTGTACTCATTTTCAAGGACACTTCCAGCAGCTCTCCTGCCAAAGACTTAATGATTCTCTTCCACTCCTTATTCTCCTGCAATGTGCTGCACTTATTGAATCCCTTCCTTAGACTGTTGTTTCTCCTGTAGGTGGACTTCCCTGCAGCACATTTGGCCCCCTCCACGTTTCCCCAGAAAGCTGAGTGTGTGGAGCTGAGCTCCTTCAGGAACTGTTCACGCTTTGGCCTTAGCGCAATCTCCCCAGCTGAGCAAGCTCTTTCTCCTCATCACTGCAGTGTGACTCCCCAATGTCCTGCCTTGCAGGTCTCCTGGGCTCACACACCTTTCTGTGGCCCATTGCAGGGAATCATTGGGTGACTGACCTGAGGGACTGTCCTCTTGAAGGGAGAAAAACTGGGTGCAGATAGGAACTGCGAACTGCAGCCACTTGTGATCTTATCTTGTACAAGTCTACCCTGTGCTTCAGAAGAAGCCTCCTGTAGCTGTTCCCAGAGTGCGATGTAGATTAACCTCCTCTTCTCCCCTGCAAATACCAAGAGGGGAGATTTAGCAGGTAGGGACATCAGACTGGTAAGTGACGTGGAGTATTAACTCTGCCCCTCTTGTGATTTAAAAAAAGGCAGGCTTCAATTACATCCTTGTGTGCTAATTCCCTACTAATTCATCCTCCTGGCAAGCTGATAGCAGGCCCTGAGGCTTTCCTAGAAGTGGAATTGCTGCTATATCTTTGCCATACTCTCTAATTGATTCTCTAATTCACAGTGCCTTAAACACTCATGCACAGGGCAGAAAGCACCCAGACAGAGCCCCGAGTGATGCACAAGCTGAGCTGCCCTCTCCCTGTTTCCTCCTCTCAGGATTAGCCTGCACTTTCCTTTGCCCACCTGGCAAATCGCTCACCTCAGTTCACTACAGTTCACTACAGCGTTTGCCCGCAGCCCTGTGCACTAGCTCAGGCTGGCTGGAAGCGGCTTGCACCGATGTGGCAACATCCTGCAATTGCTGGGTCCACCTCCACCATTTGATGAGGCTTTGGTCTCATCCAGACCCAAGATGGTCTGGGCACTGCCTGTGCCCTGGCTGGAAGGAAGTGGGAGGTGAGGGAAGCAGAGCTCGGTGCCAACAGCAGTCCTGGCTTGGCAGATCCCTTTGGGGCTTTGCGGTGGGCTGGGCAGCTTCTGCTACGAGTTATCTGCATGATGGGCAATAGCAGGTCTGGTGAGGGGAAAGGCTCGTGCTCGGGCTAAACCCATCCACATTGCAGTGTGGTTGTGCTGTCATTAGTGGCAGGGAGCTGCATGCCTTTTCTCTGTCATTTCCCAAGGATTTGGGGCTGATCCTGTCCAAGCAGTGTGCAGAGGAGTTGGGCTGGTGTGAAAGCCTGTTCCCACATGCACAGTGGGGTCGTACCTCCAGAGATCCCCAAAATAACTGGTTGTGGACATGTACCTAGCTTGGCTCGCAGCTATCCAGCTTCTCAGACAGCTATTTGCAAGAGGATGTAAATGACTTCTTTTCTCATGTGGGGCACTTCATGCTTCCTTTGCACAGAGGAAAATGGCTGCCCGAGAGGCAGAGCTGTAAGGGCAGAGGCACTCCTATCTGCAAGTAAACACACAGAGGAGGTCCCAGTCTAATCCCCAGTACAGTCTATTAACAACACAGCCCTCGAATTACCCCAGATGCACCCATGCAGGCTGCACCACCGTCCGGGGCACAGCTCACTCCCTCAGGAGGCAGCACGGTGAGCGGCCAAGCTGGCACAACAGCCTTTTCATCAGTGCAACCCGGTAAAGAAAAAAGCTCGTTTAGATAGTAGAGATTTGAAGTCGGATTTGAACACAGTCGTTTTTTGCTTGGGGGCACTTTGCAGGAAAATTGTGGTTAGATATTTAACTTTCTCTGTCAGACTCTAGATTTTAAAACAAAAACTCAAGAAAAAACATGACTTTGCTAGCAAAATTTATAAGAAATCGGACATGAGCTTTTAGGACTCCCAGGAAAGGCTGTCCTCTTTCAGCCAGCCCAGGGCCAAACTGTGTCCCAGCAGCCCAGGGAGCAAGGGGGGCTCTGACAGCCCCACGGGGGATCCTGCTCCTGCTGCACTTGGAAACGCCGAGCAGGCTTGTACCTGCCAGAGGACCCTCAGCTTAGCTGTTCCCCTCCTGCTGCTGCCTGCTTCTCTTTGTGCAGCCCTGCACCTCACCAGATCATTCCTCCTTCTTCCTCTTGCTGTTGATGGAGAGCAAAACATTCATTATGCCATGAAAGCAGGGACCACAAGACCTTAAACTTCTGGATGGACTAAATGAATCACAGAGCAAACGAGGTGCAACTGGCTGAAACAGAGTTGGTGCTGACCCACGCTGTGTTTGGTCTCAGGCTGAGCCCTGCTCCTACCTCACCCCATCCCACAGAAACCCCTTAGCCAGTACTGGGGTCTGTGTCACCATTTCTCCAGCAGCATGGGGCAGCAGGACCTCAAGTTTGGGGCATCCCAAACCTTTATCGAGGCTCAGCATGGGATTTGCATCCATCTCCCTGGGGAGATAATTTCAGGGAAGGGTGGGGTCATTTTCAAGGCAAACAAGGGAACAAAGATCAGCCTGATAAGCCCCCAAACTGAAAGGATTGTTAATGGGGAAAAAAGGTGGTTAATGGCAAAGCCCAAAGGCATCTCCCCTCTGCCTTCCAGGCCACGGCCCCACCAGCCTCGTGCATGGCTGAGGTGCCCATCTGCAGCTGCAGGGCTGTGGCCCTCGGGCTCAGGCTGCTCCTTTAAGCTGGCTGTCAGGGTGGGGGGCACTGGTGAGGACTGTGGCTGGGTAGCCTTGACCAGCAGGATCTGGCCATGTGCCCAGGAAACCCGTCCCTTCCATTGGCTCCTCTGGTTGGCACCACTGTGCTGTTTGCCTTGTGCCACTGGGGAAAGTTCAAAATCCTGGTGATAGCAGAGTGGCCAGCACGTAGCCAAGTCCTTAACTCTCTGTGGGCTGGAGCCATGGGGACATGGGTCCTTCCCCAGTCCCTAGGGCAGTGGGTCGGGCTGGGACTCCCTGGGGAGACCGCCCCTGTCCACCCCTGCAGGTGGGAGCACCCGCTCCCAGACACATCACTGCATCACGCTCTGGAGTTGGAGGGGTCCCTGATCCTTGTCCCCCACAGTGAGATGGGACAGCAGCATTCTTCTCTTCCCTCTGCCCCGGCACGCTCTCTCTGGCCGCAGAGCCTTGCAGGACCAGCACTGTGGTCTCTCTGCCTTGCGCTGCTGACTGGTTGGGCTGCCTGGCTCTAACATCGAGGACAGCACCCTGTCTGCAGCAAGCCACCTGCCCGCTGGGCTGAATGGAGCTCCAAGCCAAACTCTGAGCTGAGCCAGCACAGGCACTGAGGGAGGGAGCCCCACTTGCCATGCTGTGCCATGCTGTGCAGCGGGAGGCAGATTTCAAGGCAGGTTAATGCAGAATTGGCCAGTCTTTGTCCAAGGGTTTCAAAAGCTTGAATGAACAAGTGTGTGGCTTCTTAAAGTATTAGCTGGGCACCGCTCTCATCCCCAGCACCTCCTCAGGGACATGGCCTGATGGCACCTTGGGGTGTGCCTGAGGAGATGCTGGCAACGAGGGGATACAGCATCCCTACACCCAGCCCAGCTGCTACCTCTCCTCCTCCCTGCATGCGCTGAGGATAAATGGGACCCAAAGCAGCACCAAGACCTTTAAGGGACAAACTCTTGGCTGGAGAGGGCCATGGGCTTCCCAGGGAGGGATGCCATGCAGCCTCCAGCCTGCTCTCAAAGGGCCCCTCTGTGCAGCCGGCATTGCCCCAGAGCCATGCCCTGGTGGATGGGAGAGCCAGGGCAGCTGCTGCACTCACAGGGAGAGGTGAAAAGGACCCCAAAGTAAGGCAGAGGCACTCCAGCCTCCCCCATGGAGCTCCTGGGGCAGCAGGACCCTCAGGACCTTCCCGGTGGGTGCATGCAAGGGGGCCATGTCCCTTGGCTGGAAGGAAACAAGACAATTGGTGAAATGTGGCTCCCTGCACTGCAGGCCCCATTAGGGCCATCACCACCACCACAACATGCTGTAGAACAAACATGGTTGCTGCTGGGAGCTGGGAAACAGGAAGGAGGGAGCCCAGCTCGGGCTGGGGGCCAGGGCGTAGGGTACAGGTTTACAGGGATGCGTGCGGAGAAGAGCCCAGGGCAGTGCTGGGCTGAGGGCAGGGCTGGTCCCACTCTTCCTGTCTTGGGGCACAGGCAAGCGTCCCTTAATGTCTTTAACGTCCTCCAGCTTGTTGTCCTGCCTTCCCAGACCCACATAGATGGCTGCCCCTGCCTGCCCCGCTGCCTGTGTCTGGCCCCAGCTGAAGGTAGTGTTTCAAAGCCTTGCCTGGAGTTAAAAGGAGCGTCAGAAATAGCTGCCCAAATGCTGCGATGAGGCAAGAGCCACAGCAACACATGTCTCTGGGTGTCTCGCCTGGGTGGGAGACTTCCCTTCCCGTCCCTCAGGGCAGGATGCAGCTGTCCTGGTCGGGGGCAGCGGGGTCCCTCCTCGGAACTGGGGTTCAAGCCTCAATGAATCAATTCCTCCATGTGCTGTGCTTTAATCCCAGGGATTTAAGAAGCCTCATGTGGGTCTGTGAAGCTCACAGTTTAGGTCTGTGCTGCTTTCAGGGTGAACAGGAGCTCAGCGTGCTCCTGTGGGTGTTCCCATGGGTGCTTGGCAAGCAGCCTGCAGCAGAGCCACATGGCTGTGCCTGCTCTAGACTTGCCACCAGGCTGGTGGCCCCAGGCACCTCGAGAGAGATGGCCCCTTGGGAGACCCTGAGCTGGGAGGGCTCTGGGATAGTGCCCCTCAGCCTCTCCTTTGCTTGGTGTTTTAGTGGGAAGCTGGTGTCTCCAAAGTGGAAGAATTTCAAGGGGCTGCGGCTGCTTTGCCGGGACAAAATTCGTCTCAACAACGCTATCTGGAGAGCATGGTACATCCAGTGTGAGTACGGGGCCAGAATCTGCTCTGTCTGCTGAGTGTCAGGTGATGCTGGGTGGGACGGGGCTGGCGCTGGGACAGTGATGTACAGGTGCACGGGCACCCTCCCCAGCAGAGGGATGGAGCCATGGGTAAAGCCATCTGTGTTTTCCCCTGTGCAGATGTGGAGCGGAGGAAGAACCCTGTGTGTGGCTTCATCACCCCGCTGGAGGGGTCAGAGGCTGATGAGCACCGAAAACCAGAGGTAGGGCATGGTCCCTTGCAGCTCTCTCAGCCAGGAGCAGGTCTGGGTGGCAGAGGTGGGAGCTGGGGACATGAAGAGGGCAGAGCTTGTGGTATTTCATAGCCGGGAAAGGTATTTCTGATGTGGCACAAGGAAACCAGCCCTGGCTGGGGGGTGCTGGGGCTGGGGCGCTCAGCCATGACCCCCTGCCCTGCCCCCCCCCAGGCTGTCGTGCTGGAGGGCAACTACTGGAAACGCCGCATCGAGGTGGTGATGAGGGAGTACCACAAGTGGAGGATCTACTACAAGAAGCGGGTAAGTGGCTTGGCCCATGCTGTTCCCTGTACTGCAGTGGTACCAGCAGTGGGACAGGACATCAGCATGCCCAACATGGAGCTGTGGCTGACTGGGAGCGGGACATGGCAGGCTCTTGCCAATATGGGAGGGGGATGCTGGCTGCTGCCATGGTGCCGGTGCAGGGGAGCTCAGTGGGGACCCCATCGCCAGTTGCCTGTGGTGCTGCGGTGTGCTCCGGCAGCCCGAGCTGGGCTGACTGTGCCCTGCCTGGTGCATGATCCAGGGCTGGGTTTGGCAACATACCCACAACACACGTGTTGGGATGGGTCAAGTAGAGCCATGGCTCACCCACAGTGCTCCAGCTGGGCTGGAATTTGCCGGCCATGTCTCACTCCAGCACCACGTGCTGCCAGGCAGGCCGGGTGGCTCTGGGTTGCTCTGGGTGCCCACTCTCAGGCATGCTGGCACGACGACCTTGGCTGCCCACCACACAGGGTGGAGTGTGGTCCAGCCACCTCCCCAGGCCACTTGCTTGGGACTGATAAAGGCCAGGGTTGACACAGGCAGGCTGAGTGCTGGCAGCCTCGCACTGCCACACACCACTGGTCCCAGTGCTGCGGCAGCTGCTCAGCCCCAGACACTGTAAAGGCAGATGTGAACTCATGGCAGCCACACTGAGCCCCCCAGGAACCCCCTCCTGAGCACTGCCCCCCTCTGCCCTGCCCCTGGCTCTGCCCTGCACCGTGCCTGCCCTGGCTGGGGGGTGACACAGGCTATCTTCTCCTTCCAGCTCCGAAAGTCCACCCGGGAGGGAGAGCTCTCCAGTCCAAAGCGGGTGAGTCCGCTGGGGAAGGGTGGGGAGGGGGGAAAAGGGGGATGCAGTGTGGACCCCTGTGCTGGGCAGCTTGGGAGAAGGGCAGATGAAAGCCCCAGGGTGTGATGAGCCCAATGGGATGGGAAGCCAAGCACTTGGGATGCCAGATTCACCCTTCTGGAAGCACCAATGTGCCAGGTGTGAAGCTTTGGAGTGATAAACGCTGTGGAGATCATGGGAGCTGCCAGGGAGAGCAGCTGGGGAGCCAGGCATGGACCCTATCCAAGAGAGGTGTCCCCCTGGCTCCTTTGTTCCATCTCACACAGGATGAGGATGTCTGGAGGCCAACAGAGAAATGGTGCAACCAGCTATTCTGCAACGTGGTGCCCATGCTGCTTGGGGATGAGGAAGAGGAGCCAGGGGGTAGGCAGCACTTCGACTTGGACACCTTCCTCTCGGATATTTCTGACACCCTCTTCACCATGACACAGACACCCAGCACCCACCAGGCACTTCCTGAGGATGGTAGGTGCCATCCTCAGACCATGCTCTAGCAGGATGTGGAGGAGGAGGTCCAGGTGGGCAGCACGCACTGTAGCATCTTGCTGCCTCTTGGCTTAGCCCCTCAGAGCTGCTGCCTGTGTCCTTTGGGCAGACAGTATCCCCTGGCATCCATCCTGCCGGGGCACAAGAAGAGGATGCTCCTGCCCTGCCCAAACAGATCAGGGAGCCACTGGAGGAGGCAACGCTCCCTCCCTGCCCAAACAGAGCTCTCACTCCATTTGGGCAGGGTGGGAGCAACCCCTCCTCTGGTGGTTCCCTACAGACCAGCCCGGGCTGCCCCAGGTGGGATGGGCTGAGCTGCCCAGGGAGCACTAGCCCCGTGAAGGACCTTGCACCCCAGGGCAGGGCTGCCAGTCCTGGGTAAGCAGTGGGCAGGTCCTGCCTTCCATGGCCACTCTTTGCTGCCCCTGCCTGGCCAGGTCCCTGGAGCTCCTGCAGCACCAGGCAAGTCCTGTGCCAAGGATCAGCATTTCCCTGGGGTTCTTGGGCACTGGATGAGGTCCCAGAGGTGCTGGCGGGCAGAGTGGTGGGACAGGATGGCCCTTGGTCTCCACAGAGTGGGCACCCATTTTGCTGCCCATGCACGGCTGCAGGGCAGGGTGCAGTGACACAGTGTGCAGCAATGCAGGGTGCCATGGAGGGGTGGCAGCCAGGCAGGTGTGAGAGCAGTGGTGGGAGGAAGTCTCATGGGAGGGTCTTGGGGTTGGAGTGGCTGGGGCCTGATGTTGCAGCTCTGCCCTCTTCCAGCATATGTTGGGAATGCTGACATGATACAGCCGGACTTGGCACCCCTGCAGCCCAGCCTGGATGATATGGAGATCTCAGGTAAGAGCCAGCTGAGATGTGGTACTACATCCCACACAGCCCAGCATGGTCTGCACCCCATGGCAGCCCAAAATGGGCGGTTCAGAGGGCTGGCCAGGCAGCGCCAGAAACTGCTGGGACAGCCAGAAAGCACCAGACATTGACTGGCATGGAAAAAGCAGCATGCATGGACCAGGGTGTTGTGGCAGTCTGCAGGGCAGGGGCTTGGCATGCCTGCCTGTACCCAGGGCAGAGCCACAGCAGGTCAGGAAGGGCCTGGCCAGGAGCTGTGGGAGGGGATTTCTACAAACATAGGGTCTTTCCAGGAGTGCTAAACCACCTCGGTTTGGATGCAGACAGAGGAAAGACAATTGTCCCCCACAAGAAAGAGGAAACCTCCAGAGAACAGGTTCTCTGCTGCTGCATCCCCCTCCTCACCCCACTGCCTGGGCAGCCCCAGGCTGAGTAGCCCATGGGGCTGGCTCGGAGCTGAGACCCTGTGCTGGGCTGTGCTACATCCCTTGGGGTCAAGTCACTGTCCCTTCCAGGCTGGCCCAGAGACAAATGTGGCACTGGCGTCCAGCTGGGGCAAGGGGGTGGCCGAGGGGAACGCTGAGAAGTGGGCAATGGCAGCCTCCTCCCATAGGGCTGCCACCAGCACTGCCATGCAGGATCTGAGCCATGAGTGTCCATGAGCGCCATGGAGTCAGCTGGGACATGTGCTGATCCCAGCTGTGCAGTGTAGTGTCCCCATATTCCAGGGCAAGGCACCACTGGTGCACGCTGCACCGGGGACCAGCTCTGCCCTTGAACATGCCAGAGCCCGTGGCCTGGGCACACTTTGCAGGGTGGGAGCTGGTGTGTGTTGGTGGCTGCAGCCCTCCTGGCAGCTGGTGGCCTTGGGCAGCACCAGCATCTCTAGACTCCTCTGCGCTTCTGTGAGCACCCTGTGAGCTCCACAGCTGGTCTCCACTTCCTTCGGCAGGAGGAAACAAGGGTGCTTGCACCATATGGCTGCAGGGTGATGCAAGACCAGATGCTGGTGGGGAACGGGCTGGGGCACTCTGATGTGCCAGGGCAGGTGGTGGCATGCCCCAGGGATGGATGGGGTGGGAAGTCTCTCACCATCCCTTCTTGGCTCATTCCCTCCAGAGTTCCCATCAGGGTGAGATTTCCTGGGAAGAGGGTCTGCCCTCACTGCTGGCCCTTTGCCTCCTGTCCCCAGGTACCCCATGTGGGCATCAGGCGCTGGGAGGTGGAACAGCATCAAGTGGGTCAAATTTGAGACTTGACAAGTGTCCCTTCCCCCAAGACGTCCCACATGGTGCTGGAAAGCTGCACCAACCCCTTTCAAGGAACACCTCTCCACAATGGTGTCACAGCAGCAGCCTGAGCACCTCTCTTTGTGGGCCCAGCTGCTGTTCATGCCATGGCCTCGTGCTGAGCAGGACATGGCAAAGGGCACGGCAGTGCCCATCTGTACCAATATATTTCTATGGGCAGCCAAGTTGTCTTTTTTTTCCTGGGGAAAAGGCCTGCATTTGGTCCAGGGTGCTGCCTGGGAATGGGATGGGTCTTACTGCAAGCTGCTACATCACAGGAAAGCATTCCTTCCTGTTCTGCCCATGCCCAGCAGCTCTGCATGGGGGGACTGCTGGGCCTAGGGAGGGTCCCAAGCCCAGCTGGGGTCAGGGATGGCATCCCAGCTGTGGCTTGTTGTCTGCCCAGGTTTGGGCTGCTGAGCATGGCTGGAGAGAGGCTTGTGAGCCCTGGAGCAGGGCAGCACCCTGCAGGGTGCTCAGAGACTTGTGGGTGGGAGTTTTGTCCCAGATGTGGCATTTCCTGGGATGCTGTGCAGAGCAGCTAGCCCTGATGACGAGAGGTGACAGTCCAACAGCCGAGCACTGTGTGTGAGCGATGTGTATGCTGGCGGGATGCAGGTGCGCGCTAGGCGGTGAGGGCGTGCGGGGCACAGGTGTAGGAGCAGCAGAGAGGTGTGCACACACCATCTGATGGGCAGTGCTGGGGGTGTGTGCCCATGGGGCCATGGGAGGACTGGGGAGAGGAGATGGGGAGAGAACGCTGGGTGCTGGGTGCCAGAGCTGTGGGTGCCAGCCAACCCAATTGTGTCCCCAAGGCTACTTTTCTAGCAGGGCATGCGATGGCTTTTCATGGCTCGGGAGCAGGGATCCCCCCAGGAGCCTCGTGCAGAGCACTGCAGTGCAAGTGTGCGGGGTGGGCACCACAATGGTTGGCGCAGGGCTCCTGCAGGGTCACAGGGCTGTCACCGTGTCTGGTGGCTGTGGCAGAGCTCAGCGCCTGTCAGTCATTGTGTGAAAACCAATCCCCACATGAGGAAGCACCTCATGTCTGCGGCGGGTGCCAGAGCGTGGTGTGGGGTGGATGGAGAAGTCCTGATGGCAGAGGCAAGGGAGCAGCCTGGCCCCATGCCCTGCTGGCACCGTGCTCCAGGTAGGACCTGTGCTGGGCACCGGGGCACTGGGGGCTGGGCTGGCTGTCCCATGGGGTGGCATCGCCCTGCTGTGCTGCAGGGCTCTCGCAGAGCCTGGGGCCAATGCTGTAGGGTCCTTGGTTTGGGAATGGGCTCTGTAGCTCCGATCCCATTGGAGAGCAGCCCCAGGTTTGAACGGGATGCCAAAGGTGTGGTGTGCTAACTGCATGGGGTCTTCTTCCTTGGGCAGCGACATACACTGGCCACGCTGCACTGCCTGGGAGCAGGTCAGGGTGATGCGATGATGGAGAGAAGCATTGGCAAAAGCTGTGGGGTGGGGAAGGAGCAGGAGAAAGGGAGTACGGGGCTCCCAGAGGCAGCCAGCCACCTTCCATCCCTGCAACACAGCGAGAGGCACAAGAGGAATTGAATCTGCAGAGCTGGGCACTAGAAATGCCTATAAATACCCACAGAGCTTCAGTGCGGTGGCAGGGCACAGCCTAGTGTGGGCACAGCGGAGGGCTGGGGGCAGCGTGGAGCTGGGTGCTGTGTACTGGGGAGGCTGACACCCTGCCTGGCAGCACTGTGGCCCACACTGTGGGCAGGGGTGGCTCTGCCATGCTCCCAGGCATTCACTGTGTCCTTGGTAGGGGGAAGGGGCAGTCTGAGGGCTGAGTGGGGCAGCTCAGCAGTGGCACTGCCCCATCTTGCACCAGTGTTACCCTCAGCTGGCACCACATAGCACTGCTGGAATCGTCACCATGATCAGCCCCATGGCATCCCACTCTGCTGGCATGTTTGCTCCTCTGGTGTAGATTCAGAAGTGTCTCAGGCCTTTGCAGGTTCTAGCCAGGGCACCCCAGGTGCTGGAGCCTGTGCCTCAGCCTGGAGGGAGAGCAGTCATTGCAGCCCTGACAGTGCCTGGGGCATGGCTGCACACGCTGGGCAGGCAGACCCAGCATGTGGACTCAGCCAAGCTCTGCTGGCGGCAGCGTGGGGCCTGGAGGCAGTGATGCTCATGAGCCAAGGGGTTAGGAGCATGGCTGGGTACTCCCCGGAGGGGACCGGTGTCCTGGGCTGGCTGCTTGGGCACAGAGCCTGTGCCAGGGGCTGTCAGTCAGCTGCCTGCAAACCTAGCCAGCGCTCGTGCTCCATCCTACAGGGAAGCATCCAGCAGCCCCATCCCCACCCCACAGTCATCCTCTCCAGGGAAAACCCTCCCAGTGGCGATGCCCAAGCCAGCACAGGCACAGGCAGCGGCAGGACCAGCACGAGCGGAGGCGTGTGTGGGGCTGATGTGCCAAGGGAGCTCGATTCACTGGGGAGGTAGCTGCCCAAAGTGTCAGGCCAGCCCTTTGCGCCATGGTGTCTGGGCCTGTGGAAGGAGCAGGGCTGTGGGAAGGGGAGAGGAAGCGAGAGGGAGTCGCGGCAGGGTCACGGGGCTCGGCTTCGGGAAGGCCATGGGATGTGGTTAGCCGCAGGCTGCGTGCACGGCAGCGCCAGGGTGGGGAGGCAAGCACTCGCCACAACTCCAGGGGACCGTCCCCCACGACTTGGGGATGCTGTGACACGCTCCTCCGAGCCCCACCACTGTGGCTGGCCCACAGCCTGGTGTTGTGGTTCCTGCCCCAGCCTGGGGCTGGTTCAGGAGGAGCAGTACAGTCACGCACACCCCTGGGAGCAGCCCTGGCGCTGGAGCACGCGGCACCCAGCTGGGTGTGGGGGATGGGGTCCCCACCCTTGGGTGGCATCCCAGGCAGGTTTTCCTGTCCCCATGCATGTGGTAAGGCTGGCCCCGGGCACGTGGGCTGCCTCTTCCCTCCATACTCCAGTGTTTAATAACACAGGGGCCAAATCTGCTGGCAGAGCCTGGAGCTGCCCCAGCCCCACAAGGTGAAGGTGGGACTGGCAAGTCCCCAGCAGTGCCAGTAACAGAGTACGGCTCCACCCGGTGTGCCCAGGGGCTTGTCACCCCCTCTCTGAGAAGGTCCCCTTATGCCCATCGTTCTGTCTCCACTTGGCCCTGCAGATATCTTCACCAGCCACCGGCCACTGCCATCACAGACGCAACCGGGCTACCAGGAGCCGCCCTGCTTTGTGCCCATGGCTGAGCCCCTGTTCAGCGGTGGGGGGTCCCTGATGGGTGCTCGGGGGCTGCCTGCAAGCCCTGAGGCCCCGCTCCTGCCCAGCACCCTCCTCCAGGTGAGCAGGATCCTGGCCCGTGGCCTGTGGCTGCCGGTGCCCCAGGCATCCCCCCTGACCCTCCTGTGTCTCCTGCAGCCCGGTGGTGCCTCCCAGCTTGGCCTCCAAGGTGCCTTCCTGGGCCCCGAGCTCCCCTTGGCTCCCCTGCCTCCTGAGCCACCCACCGCAGCGCCCGGCAGCCTCAGCCCCCAGCTCCAACACAAGCCCCTGCTGCAGTATGGCCTCCCTGGCAAGTGCCTTGGCCTGGAGCCACCAGGACCCCACTACGCCCCCCCCGTCCCATCCCCCGGGGCGCCGCTGCTGGGCCCGGACCCCCCATTCTCCCCCGCCTCGGCCCCCCGCTCCAAGTTCCCCTACGCCAGCTCTACTGGCCCCTCGCTCCTGGCCCACCCCGCCTCCCCACTCTCGGCACCCTGCTTCGCTGCCCACGCCCCGGGGCTGGGTTATGCAGCAGGCATGGTGCCCCTGGGGTACCCCGGCCCGGCCACCCCCCAGGTCCTGCCCCCCGCCCTGCTGGGCGACCCCAGGTTTGTCCCCCCCAAGGGGCTGCCCCAGGGCAGGGGTGGGCGGCCGAAGGCGAAGCCCAGCAGCACGAAGGCAAAGAGGATGCCGGGACCCTCCGCGCCACCCCACCTGGCTGTGCCCAGCGCCTGCCTGAGCCAGCTGCTGACCACAGGTAATGGGGCTGGGGGGCGGCGGGGGGGATGCAGGGGCAAGCCGGAGTTAGGGGGGAGGCTGTGGGGGAGATCAGAAGGGGAATCCTGCTTTCTCCCTGGAGTTGGGACACTGGGGATGCTGGGCAGGGTGCCTGGCTGTCCCCATGGCGGGGCAGCACCAAACCCAGGGATGAAGCCATGCCCAGGGAGCTCTCCCTGGGTCCAACAGCTCGGGAGGGAAATGGGGCCCAGCTGGCCCCAGGGCTTGGCCACGGGCACCGCTGCATACTCCCTGTGTCCCCAGCCTGGTCTCCATGGCCCTGTTGGCATGGATGGGCTGAGGGGTCACCGGTATCCTGCCCGACCTGCTGCCAGTGCATATGATGGGACAGGTCCCACTGAGGCTGTCATGTCCAGCCCTGTGCTTGTCTGGGGAGGGGCTGGGTGTCCCTGCCTGCACTAAGGCTCCCAAGGACACCCCTGCTGTGGAGAGCAAAGGTACCTGTCTCCAGGGGCTGCTTCACCCTTCTGCAGGGTAGACAGGCAGGGAAGGGGCTGCACCAATGCCGCTGCTTGGGGCTGGCTGTCCCGTGGGGCAAGAAAGGTCACCTGAGCCCCAACACCCTCATGCAGCAGTGCCCTTCTGCTCCCTGCCCTCTTGCAGCCAAGCAGGAGCTGGCCCTGGATGCCCCATGCCCGATGGGTGCAGGTTTCATGCCCACATCCCCTGTCTCTCTGGTAAGCACTCACCTACTCCCCAGGTTGGGAATTGCCCTCTCCTTGTTGCTGGGGCAGGGGTAGAGATGGGGCAGGTGGGGAGATGGGGCTCTGTGGGGTCACCTTTTGCACTATGGGGCTGGATAGGCACAGGGAGAAGGAGGGGGCATGTGGCTGGGGTGCTGGGGAGGCAGGAGTCACCCGAGTGTTTTCTCCTGTGAAAGAAACAGGGCAGCTGTGGGAAACATCCCACCTGCAGGGCCCCTTTCCTGGCGATGGTGCCCTGGGGGAATGGGGCTGGGGCTGCCCCTGCAGATGGTGGGATGGGGCTGCACATCCCCCCTCCCTGGTCCCCTTGCGGGTGTTCGTCTCTAAGTGCACGGGCACTGACTGACCAAAGGGGAAGGCCTGGTCCCTGGTGTGCATGGGGGGCTGGCCCCCCAACCTCCCACTTCCCTCTGCCTTCTCCCAGCAGCAGAGCACTGCCCCCGAAGTCCGTGCCACCTTCCTCTCCAGAATGGCCCAAGCGAGCCCAGGACTGGCTCCTGGCTCCAGCCCTTCCCAAGCGGTGCCAGTGCCGGTGCCACTGGCGGGCACCCAGCCGGGCCCACCGCTAGTCCCCAAGGTGGAGCAGCTGTCCCCCACGTCGGCTTGCGGTGAGTCTGGGGCACCCCAAGGAGCTCCACAGGACACCACGTTTCCTGCAGGTAGCTTGGACCAAACATTGTGGGAATGTTTCATTTCGACTTCAATCCCAGCTATTTACATATACCCAGCTGAGCACGGATTATTTCCTTCTGCAGGGGAGGGCACAGCCCCTTCACCTGCCTCCTTCTACAGGGGCAACTGTAGAAACAGGAAAAGACAAAAAGGAGCAAAATGTCAAACTGTGGTTTTGAAAACCTGGAGCTTGGGTTTTGAGTGGGAAGCACCTTGCTTTCACCCGCAGAAACCAGAGTGGCAGCTGGAAACCAGGCTCTGATGTCGTTCCCAGTTTCACTTTGGTGCTGCAGACTGCAGCCTTGCTGCCCTCGGGACTCTCTCCTGGCGATTTCCACCCCAAGAAACGCCAGGAATTTAAAACGTCATGTCCCATATGCTCCCATTTCTGACCAGTTGTAAAATGAGTGGGATTTGGGATAAGACAAAGCAGTAAGATGTGGTTGGATGCTGGACCGGAGCATCCCTGTCAGCTGAGCAGGGTGGCTGCCCTGGGGCTGAGGTAGTGCTGCAGGCTGCTCCTCTCTGCTTGTCCCAGCGTGGGACCTTGGTGTCAGCCCGTCACGAGGGGCTGCTGCTGCTGCTGCCCCTCTCCCCAGAGCATCGCTTTTCCTTTTCCAGGCAGTGACTGGCCCAAGCCTGGCCAGGCTTCCCCAGGATCCACTGTAGGGCTGGGCACTGGCATCTCCCTGCACCACCCTGTGTCCTGTCGGGGCAGGCCTGAGTCCAGCAAGGTACAGCAGGAGCAAGCACTGCCTTTGCTATGGGGGGCACTATCTCCATATGCTGCTGCCCCCCAAACTCCCCCCCACCTAGCTGCAACCTTTGGGCAAGCCCGTCCTGATGGGGCTGGTGGCGAAGGGCTGTTCCCGCTGCCAGGATGTGCCTGACAGCATTTACCCACAGATGGAGAGCCGCCGCATCACACACATCTCTGCCGAGCAGAAGAGACGTTTCAACATCAAGCTGGGCTTCAACACGCTGCACAGCCTGGTGAGCACGCTGAGCGCCCAGCCCAGCATCAAGGTGAGTGCCCAGGGCTGTGCGGACCGGGCAGCCACAGGCACACAGGGACATGGTGTGTCACCTGGGGACGTTGCATCCCTGGTCTGCCCCAGTGCACAGGCATCCTGCCCTGCGCCCCAGTCTATGGGGCATGAGGCTGCGAGCCCACACCAGGCACATGGAGACCCACGCAGTGCAGTTGTGCCAGGGTGGTCTGGGCTCTGGAGCCTGTGGCAGAAGCTGCCAATGCTCGGCAGTGGGGAACATGGCACCTCATGCTGCCAGCCCCACTGCACAAAGTGCCGGGTGCCCCACGCCCTGCCCACCCCAGGGGCTCCCTTCACCGTCTCACCCTGTGGCCCCATAGGTCAGCAAGGCCACCACCTTGCAGAAGACAGCTGAGTACATTTGCAAGCTGCAGCAGGAGCGGGCGGCCCTGCAGGACGAGGCACAGCGGCTGCGGGAGCAGATCGAGGAGCTGAACAGCTCCATCAAGTAAGGGGGGCATGGTTGGGGAGGCAGGAGGGAGCCACTGCCTGCATCAGGGTAGCCAGGCAGGGCAAGCGGCAGCGCTGGGGAGGCAGCAGGACACAGCAGGTCTCCTGAGCACCTCCCAGGACCTGTATCTGACTCTGTCCCCTCTCAAACCCTGTTTGGGGGAGGGATGATGTTCAAAAGGCAATGCTGTGTGGGACCAGAGCATGGGGCCATGCCTCACAGCTGCCCTGGGAGGGGGACACTGCCTGCCCACCCTTGCTGAGAGCTGAGGCCCTGCCAGAGCCTCTCCCCATGGGGTGGCCCCTGTGGCTCCCAGCCTCCTGAACACAGACCCATAGCACTACTTGTGCCCCACAGCCTGTGCCAGGAGCAGCTGCCAGCCACAGGGGTGCCCATCACACGCCAGCGCTTCGATCAGATGCGCAGCATGTTCAATGAGTATGTCCGCTCCTCCACACTGCAGAACTGGAAGTTCTGGATCGTATCCTTTGGGGCCAGTGCCTGCTGCTTGCTCTGACCCCTCCACCAAACAATGGGTCCTCTGGTTAACCCACTGCTCCTGGGTCTGTGGGGCCCCTCCAGCTCGAGAGGCTCTGGGGACCATGGGGAGATGTTTCCCAGCCAAGGGCACATGGTGAGAACATGCCGAGATGCTGTGATTAGGAGAAGCTTCTGTTACAAGGGAACAAACAGATTAGGAGTAAATGGTTGGTCTTTGGGTAGAAGTTGTCACTGGCGGAGCTGAGCTCATGTGGGGACGAGCTCCTGGTGACATGGGAACTGGGTCTTCAGAGGCAGCAGTCATCAACTAGGGATTAGGAAAGGTCCAGACACAAAGCCGGTGACATGATGGCTTGGTCTTGGTGGCCACATGGCACAACCTGGAAACCCAGGTGTGCCCATGCCTGAGACACAGGTCTGGGCTCCACATGGTGGAAAGGATGAAGGGGACCAAGGGCCAGGGAACGGGTGGTCAAAGGGCTGGACCTGCTTCTCTGTGAGCAGGGATTAAGCACACTGGGACCATTAAGCTTGCAGAGATTGTGAGGTCTACAAAATCCCAAGTGGCAGAGGGATGGGCAGGCATTGCTGCCCACAGTCCGATCCAGTGCAGGCAGTCCAGGCAAGGCAAAGGTGGCTCCTGATGCAGAGTTGGGGAGCGCTGTGGAGCTCCTTCCACAGGACACTGGGTATACTAAAGCTGACACGGGCTCCAGGACATGCTCGTGGTGGAGGTACCTGCAGTGGATTACTATATGCACAAAATCACCAGTCGCCAGCAGTGGTCTCTGCAGGCTGGGAGCACCAGGGGAGCACACTGGACACACTGGTGTCATGCCCTGCTCCTGGGCACTTCAGAGGACGCTTCACTAGCTGGCTCCTTGATCTGCTCTGGAACAGTTGTCTGGTGTCTAATCAACCATTTCTGGCAGCCCAGTCATGATGGGGGTTATGCAGCTCTCCCACTGCCTGCCCTGGGTGACACTCAGGTCCCCATCACCCCAGCAGTACGGGCTGGTGCCCAGTGCCGTGCTGTGCTGAGGAAGGCACCCAGCAGGTTTGCTCCCTGGCCAGGCAGGGAGGTTTTTCCTGCTGCCTGTAGGAGAGTGCTGTCCACACCTGGCAGGTGGGAAACCATGGTCTTGGCAAGGCTGGTCCTTAACTCCTCTGATCCCATCAGTTCAGTATCATCATCCGGCCCCTCTTCGAGTCTTTCAATGGCATGGTCTCCACAGCCAGCATGGAGAGCCTCACCCAGACATCTCTTGCATGGCTGGACCAGCACTGCTCCCTCCCAGCGCTTCGGCCAAGTAGGTGACCCTGCTCCTGTCTGTGGCACCTTAAAGAAGCCAGGCTGGCCTACTGGCATGGACTGATGGAAAAGCAGAGGGGAAAGGGATGGAGGCGTCCTGGGGGGCAGTGGGGCTGGTGCTGCACCACGCTTCTGCCACGCAGGAGGGAAGCACCCATGGGATGTCCTGGGGCTGCGTGCTTGGTGCTTTTCCACACTCCTTTCACACCCACTCTCCAGCTGAGCTGGCTGCTGCTGCGCTAAACCGAGAGCCCGTGCCCTGGCTGGGCAGGGCTCGACCCTCCTCAGACCCCCCCAGGGTGGGCTTCCCTTTGCCTTTTGCTGGGGGCTGTGGCAGGGAGCTGTTGTGCTCTTCCAGGGGCTGGAGCAGGGAAGGGAAGAGCCATCTTCCCCAGGATGGGTTAACCCAGGCCCCTTCCAGCCACCAAGGCACAGGGGGCAGCTGACATGTCCCATGTCTCCCCGCAGCCGTCCTGAGCTCCCTCCGCCAGCTGAGCATTTCGACCTCCATCCTCAGTGACCCGGCCTGCGTCCCCGAGCAGGCGACACGGGCAGTGGCGGAGATGGGCCGCGACGGTGGCTCCTCCTAGCTGCCCCCGGAGGGGCTTTCCCAGCCCTGCCAAGACCCTTGCTGCTGCCAGACAAGCGCCCGCCAATGCCAGCGAGGAGGCCCCGGCAGGGCCACCGCGGCCAGGCTGCACGAGCAAGGGACAGCGCTGGTCGGTGGCGGCCCTGGGGCCATGGGGGTCCCGCTTCCACGGGCATCGGCTTGGGGAGTCCCTGCCTGTGCAGAGGCGGGGGCTGCTGCCGTCCCCCTGGTCCTGCGCCCCAGGACCTGCCAGACCCCGGAGTGGCTGGCACAGCGCCGGGCCCCGTCTGCCCTCAGCCAGGAGGCCTGGGTTGGGGGAGCTGCTGGGCAGTGGGGCCCGGCCCCGCTGCCTGATAAAGGACTCACTCTGCCTACAGGCCACAGCGTGGTTCTTCCTGCCGCGGGTCTCTCTGGGGCAGGGCTGGGGGAGGCGGGAGGCCGCAGGGTGAGGGCAGGGGCGGGCAGGGTGAGGGTGAGGGTGAGGGCAGGCCCGCAGCGGGGCAGTGCCACCCCCCGCCGCCAGGGGCCGCCCTGCGCGGAGCTCGCAGGGGGAGCAGCGTGGAGCGGTGCGTGCCCCCACTGGCGCGCATGCGCGCCGGGTCGCGCCGG